GGCTTTAGGGTTTAGGGGGTCAGGGTTTAGGGTTTAGGGTTTAGGGCTTAGGTTTTAGGGTTTAGGGTTTAGGGTGTCACCATTGTCATCATTCGTTTTACTGCCGTCTTTGTTATGAGGATGATTGTCCGTTCATATCCCTGCCGTACATGATCAGTTGTACGCTTGGCCTGGCTTCAGTCCCTAAACCTTAAACTGCCCTAAATCCTAAACACCCTAAACCCCAAAACCCTAAAAACCCTAAACCCTAAACCCTAAAAGCCCTAAACCCTAAACCCTAAACACCCTAAACACCCTAAACACCCTAAACCCTAAAAGCCCTAGACCCTAGAACCCTAAAGCCCTAAACCCTATACCCTAAATCCTAAAAGCCCTAGACCCTAAAACCTAAAACCCTAAACCCTAAAAACCCTAAAAGCCCTAGACCCTAAAACCTAAAACCCTAAACCCTAAAAACCCTAAAAGCCCTAGACCCTAAAACCCAAAACCCTAAACCCTAAACCCTAAAAGCCCTAGACCCTAAACACCCTAAACCTTAAACCCTAAACCCTAAAAGCCCTAAACCCTAAAAGCCCTAAACCCTAAACCCTAAACCCTAAACCCTAAAAGCCCTAGACCCTAAGACCCAAAACCCTAAACCCTAAACCCTAAAAGCCCTAGACCCCAAAACCCTAAACCCTAAACCCTAAACCCTAAAAGCCCTAGACCCTAAACACCCTAAAACCCTAAACCCTTAAAGCCCTAGACCCTAAAACCCTAAAAGCCCTAGACCCTAAAAACCCTAAACCCTAAACACCCTAACAACCCTAGACCCTAATCCCTAAACCAAAAAAACCTAAAAACCCTAGACCCTAAAACCCTAAACCCTAAACCCTTAAAGCCCTAGACCCTAAAACCCTAAAAGCCCTAGACCCTAAAACCTAAAAGCCCTAGACCCTGAAACCCTAAACCCTAAAAACGTAAACGCCCTAGACCCTAAACACCCTAAACACCCTAAACCCTAAACCCTAAACCCTAAACCCTAAACCCTAAAAGCCCTAGACCCTAAAACCCTAAAAAGCTTAAAAGCCCTAGACCCTGTTTTCAGAGCCAGGTTGCTCAGGGCCCCGGTGAAGCTTAGGCTCTTCGGTGACCCCAGGCACTACCGAAGCTTTGGCATGCCCCAAAGCCTTAAACGGTTTAGGGTTTAGGGTTTAAGGTTTAGGGTTTGGGGTTTAGGGTTTAGGGCTTAGGGTTTAGGCTTTAAGGTTTAAACCCCCTTAAGAAACCGTGCCGTAAACCCTAAACCCGACAACCCTGCGCCCTAAAGCGGGAAAGAGCCCAGAACCCTAAGCCCTAAACCCCAAACCCTAAACCCTAAACCCTAAACCTTAAACCAAGAGGTTCAGGAAGAAGCGCAGTTCCAACTGGGTGTGGGCCTGCGATGCCTCATCTCGGCCTCAGGGGAGGCCGGCTGATGGGATACTACAGGGGCCTTAGTAGCTAGAATAGGGTTTAGGGTTTATAGAAATTGTTAAGGGTTTGGGTGCCAAAGTTTTGACCGAAACGTTTTGACCGAAAGTTTTGACCGAAACGTTTTGACCGAAAGTTTTGACCGAAAGTTTTGACCGAAAGTTTTT